CTTCAACCAAGTGGAAAAATCACGACGTATATATTTATTGTAGCTTTTTGGGGATGAATTTTCGACTTCAATGTAAAAGGAAAGAAATTTTTAGATGGCTGATCATGGTGAAAACGTCCTGGAAGACACGTGTAAAAAAATGAATTTATAAGCAGGGCAAAAGTGTGATTTTTGGATTTCAAAACACACGGGAGCTCAACATAAGGATTATTTGTTGAAAAACGTTTTGAATGAGAGCATCAATCCGTCAATGCCAATCAGGTGGTTATTTGAGAGTCATTTGTGTCGCATCCAATGACGGGGTTGCGATGAAGACCAATCAGCTGCATTCAATAAAGTCTCACAGATGAAGCAAATCCCATTTTCTTCCATTTAGACCGAGCCAGTTCAGATTCGCGCGACTGTTCAAACTCTGCCGCCGAGTGTGTCACAAGAGATCCTCTTTCATTACCAATAAACATTCTGCATGTCGCTATTATACTTAGGGGAATCTAATAGGTTATAAGCATCGCCTTTTACGAAGCATGAAAATCAATTTTTGGGGTGGGGGCGGCGGAGTTCTCACTTTATCTCCGGCTTGTGCTCACCACTTGGTCTGTTTTTGTCTGGGGGGTGGCGGGTAATGGGGGTGTTATATGATGACTTTCCTCAACACATATGCAGTATGTACAAAAAAGTGCTGGTATGCACTAAGTGGGGAACAAAACAAGTACTGGGACACCCGGTGATGAAGCCCCTCTGCAAAAAAATATTGGGATACCTTAATGGACACAACTGTACTGCATCTCAGCAGCCTCTGCACATTAAGACAGCATGTACAAAAGTATTGGGACACGTGGTCATTACATCTTGAATGCATCTCAGGCATGTTTTTGAACTTTTGTGGAAAAAAAAAACATTTGGCATTATGTCGCCATCACACCTGATGCGAAACTTGAGGAACGTGAGTTACTCTTCCCTCAGCTCGCACTCTTCGGGGAAGCCTTTGTAAGACGTCGAATGCAACTCTGATTAATTTATTAAGTGCGGCTTTGCGGCTGAGACTCAAATTCATATGCAACATAAACCAAGAGGGATGCATAACAAAGTAGCGATTGTTTCACTATCAATCGCCCACCAGCGGAAAAAGAGAGACGATCACAATGGAGCCGAGTGGCGGCAGCCGAACCCAACAGGCAAACTGTATTCCCGCCAGTGTGGGGTTTATGTTTCATAAAGGCACAAATAGGATTTATGTAGATTGGGGTTGGGAGAAATTGTTGCCGCGCGTCAGAGTGAATGTTCTAACACTTTCTTATTATTAGAATTTAAATGACTTTGGTACAGTGCTTCTGATACTTATCAAGTTAATCCCACTCTCCTCTCAAATTCACACTCCTAGCTACTTTAATTAGCATAGTGCCAGCAGTCTGGAAGGCAGCGAGAGGAAGAGAGAGGAGGCGGGAGGGATGAGGGGAAAGCGGGTGAGGAAGTGATATTGCGTGGTAGGAGACTGAAAGAGTGTTTGTGTGTTGAGGCTTGTTGCGTCACCCCTCCCCCCCCCCCATGTGTTCGGGCTGGATATTTTGTTTTGTCATTATCTCGCCTCTCGCCATTCATCTGTAGCAACATGTCGCAAATTGGCTCCTGAGAGGCGTCACACATCCGGCGTGTACTTGCCTTCTTTTGACAGCATCCTTCATGGAGGATCGGCTGAACGGGGAATTTACAGGGGGGAGGACGTATGATCCGTCTATTGAAGACGAACGGCTCGCTAGCTCAACGCGAGGACGGTCTCAGATCAGCGACGATATCAAAGGAGACACGGAGGCAGCTTGCCATCAATCGATCCTTTTGGCTGAGGGTGAATGGACGATTGAAAGGCAAATGTCTTTATTTGAATTGGAGGCTGAGGCCATGCCCACACGAGCACTGTTCCCAGCATAAAACCTCTGCAATGTTTTAAAGACCCCGTAGAGTGAATTCAGTGAGGATTAGTTTCAAAAGACATTATACGTGTTTGAAGATAATTGCCGAAAACATATGTAAGGACTGAAAACTATTAGGACAGAATGGCGGCGATATGGCATGATAGCATGCTCATACAGGAAGTCCGCCAAAATGTTTTCTGGTTTGGTGATGTGACGTTCCGTATAAGGCATATTTTGCACGGGGACGTGCAGAGGCAACGTTACTGCCAGCATGGTGAGTCTCTTCACATTAACAAAGGAGGCTTTGCGGCATTCTGTTCTTCTTCTATTACTGTTGCCGTTGTAGTTGCATTGCACTGAGCAACCAATACAGGTGCAGTGAACCCCCATATTTTGCGGGGATATGTGCCAGATCACTCAAAATTATTGTCAGCATACCATGTGTAGAAAATACTTCTCGCTGCCCTAATTTTCATGTCATAAGGTGCGCAGGCCCTTTAAGAATGTAGCAAGTGGAAGAGAGTGAGGGAGCAGCGGCACAAGGCATGGCGAGAGCGCATGTTGATCCACACACAAAACCACAACCAGTGTTTCCTGCACTTTTGAACTGCATTCAAGAGTGAGGGATACTCGCACTGTATGGGAAGCGAGTGAGGTTTGCACGCGCGATGCAACCTTCACCTTTGGTCCTCCTCCATCTCTCCGCTTCCTGCAGCAGAGCTAAGCTCGGAAGCCATCTTCCGTCTTCGCCTTGTCCGGAGCGCAAAGACGCCAGGAACCCTCTTAGCGCTTTGGAGAAGGAGGCCCGACGTGCAGGTAGATACGCAAGTGGCGAGGGAGCTCTCCCCTGTGCTGCTGCTGAGAATTAAACCGGATTGGGGAGAGCCGAGCAGAGAAATCGTGGTCCAAGGTGACTTTGTGATCCGGTTCCAGAGAGCAGCTTCAAATCCGCGGCTTGGGGCTGTGTGTGCATGTGTGGGTTTGTGGTGTCAAAGAGCCTCATGCTCATCTCTTGGCGCCTTCATTTTGCATGTTGAACTTTTAAGCGCTGAAAAGGAACTTTTCAGTCACGTTTTAATGGGACCTCAGCAAATTTAAACCTCCAAATATTGTTTCACGTAATGGAAAAACAAACATGGTAGGCTTGATGCAACAAAAATAATAATATTGTAAAAATATCAATTTTAAATTTTTTTTAACTATATATTTTTTGTGTTAGTTAAACTATTATTGTATTAAATAGAATCCCTAATTGGGAACTTTAAGTAACATTTTGTCAAGCAATTGTAAGTTCACCATTGTGTAACAGGACAAAATTAAACTATAATAATAACAATAATAATAATAATAATTATTATTATTATTATTATTATTATTATTATTATTATTATTATAAAATCAAAAAGCATAAATTGTTTTTAATTTGATGAACATTTTCATTTTTTTCCCACATTTATCCTACCAATGTTAATCTATAAATGGGAAATTTACATATAATTTGACCTCTCATCCTAGTCTAAAAGTTAACAATAATAATAGTTCTTATTCAACAGGAATATAGTGCACTTTAATTTATTTTTATTTCAAAAATATGTCATTTTAGTCCTTCCCTCACGGTGAAATTTAAGTAACATTCCCTGTCATGCAACGAAGAAGCCTAGACATCCGGTTTGAACGGTGGAAAGCAAGCATAAACAATAGGTGTGCCCGATTATATATGTCAGAAGAATGTATGAATCTGGGCTTCATCTCCTCCTCCTCCTCCTCCTCCTTCTCATCATCATCATCATCGCGAGGCGTTCGTGGCAAGAAGAACAAAAGTGGAACGTTTAAGCGTTTTTGTGGCTCGAATGATGAAACACCACCTCGCTCTTCTTGGATGACAACAGGGGGGAAGGAAGTTAGAGTGAACATAAAAGAGGGCTGGGGTGAGAGGATGAGGTCGGAGGTGAAGTGGCACTGCGGGATGAAGAAGAGGGGGAGGGGGGGAGTGTGTGTCGAAGCGAGGGGTGGGCGAGGCAGCTGTTTGTCTGGCCCAGTTGGAGTTTGGATAGTTCAGACCTGCGAGCACGCTCCACTACATCCCAATAGGAGCTACTTGACTGGAGCCGCACATCACATTTGTTTTGCAGGCGCTGATTGAGGCTACAGCAGATGAAGATTTCACTGAATTCTCCTCTTTCACCCTCTCGAAAAGTCCCTTTTTTCACACATTCAAATACGGCGCAGATCCCGTGTAGGCCCTTTTTTTTTTTTATGAGTTATATGTATGTTTGTGCGTACAAAAAGAGGCACCCCCTCTTCTCGAAGAAAAAAAAAAAAGCTGCAAGTGTAAGTCCCCTTGAAAGTGTCCCTCTTGAAGGACTGTTTAAAAAGGGACGCCCCCACCCTTTGTGCCCACTGTTCTGGTTGGCGTATGGAGGGACTTTTGTCCCCCTTTTTCATGTGCGCTCACAATGGGCTGGGCCGTTTGAAACACAACAGTAGATGAACTGCGCTGACAGTGTATTAAACTCTGATGAATTGCCTGTGCGAGGCATAGATCAATGTCCTTCAACCCCCGAGCACGCAGCGAAGGCCGGGCCTTGTCTCGGCTAAATGGAACAGGTTGCCGGCTCCTTTCACAAGCCCTGATTATATTCATGTTTTGTTGAAGCAGAAGCCTTTTTAAAATGTGTAAATCTTTCTAAAGAACTCCTACTTTTTTTTTTCTTTTTTTTTTTTTTTTGAGGGGGGGGGGCTTTTCATTCAGGGAAAGGATATTGTGCGCTGCTCATTTCAGGAGCGCTGTCTGTCTAGACTAGAGTTGGCGAGGCTTCTCTTTAGGCTTTCTAAATAGCGGGCACATTTGAAATAGCACAATTAATATGACCGATACAACTTTTTGCCACCTTTCTATTAAGGCACCAACTGCAAGGGTGCACCATCTTGCTGCAGTCTCTTCATTTCCTCAGTGGTAACTTTGTCAAGAGCAAGAAAAAAAATATTCTGGATTGACTTGAAACTTTTAAGCATACGCAGATGCATTGTAGTTGAAAGGGAAAAAGAAGCACTTTCAAACCTCAATCGTTTTCTTGACATCTCCTTCAGGTGTGGTTCAGCAACAGACGGGCCAGATGGCGTAAACAGGCCGGGGCCAATCAGCTCGCTGCCTTCAACCACCTGCTTCCGGGCGGATTCCCACCCACTGGCATGCCCACTTTACCCACGTACCAACTCCAGGAGGCGAGCTACCCCGGCACCACACTATCGCAGGGTAAGTGCATTTTGTTGTCATATTTTAGCATTTATCTCCAGCGACCTCGAGTGTCCACTCAACCTGTTTTGCCACTACAGACCACATCACCAACATTGGTGGTGGAAGAAGGAAAATGGTTTCAGAAATGCCAAAGCTTGGCCAGACAATTAACAGTTGGTGTTGTCATTATTTTGTTTTAATGAACCAATATATAATGTGGGGTGGCTCTGTGATCCAGTGGTGAGCGTGTCAACCTCACAGTGCAGAGGTTTTGTGTTCGATCCCGGCTCGGGTCTTCCCGTGTGGAGTTTGTATGTTCTCCCCGTGCCTGCCTGGCTTTTCTCCGGGTATTCCGGTTTCCTCCCACATTCCAAAAACATGCATGGCAGGCTGATTGAACACTCCAATTTGTCCCTAGGTGTGAGTGTGAGCACGGATGGTTGTTCGTCTCTGTGTGCCCTGCGATTGGCTGGCAAGCGTTTCAGGGTGTCACCCGCCTACTGCCCGAAGACAGCTGGGATAGGCTCCAGCACCCCCGCGACCCTTGTGAGGATAAAGCAGTTCGGAAAATGGATGAATGGATGGATGGATGGATGGCTCTCAAGAAACAAACGCATCACCCCACGATCCGAAGAAATTCAAGAAGAAATTATAAAAAAAGAAATTGAAATCTTTCAATCTGGAAAAGGTTACAAAGCCATTTCCAAGACTCTGGGGCTTCAGCAAACCACTTTGGGAGCCATTATGCACAAATGAATAAAACTATGAACAGTGGCAAACAATTCCAGCTAAAATTACTCCAAGAGTGTGACGACGACTTATCCGGGAGGTTGCAAAAGAACCTAGATAAACACCCAAAGAACTCCAGACCAGAGGGATATTTGACTTCCAGGTGAAATTTCAGGAAGAGCCTAAAATATATTGAAACCTTCACAGGTGAATTTACTGTGACCCTTTTTTTTTACCTTTTGAATGCACATGTCCAACTGTTAAAGGTTTCAGTACTTTTTGCACGAGTTGCTGTTCTCTCATGAGGACCTTAACGGTAAAATTCCCAACAGGCTTTTGATCCTTGAATCGACCAATAAATGTCCTGGTTCAATTAGAGCTGGTGTTTAAACATTTGTCCTCATCATGCTGTTCACATTTTGACATCATGAGACCAAGACGACACCTAACAATGGATCAACAGGCCCTTGCCATTGTAATGCCTCAAACAGGACATTCTCAGACAGAAGTGGCCACTGAGCTTAAAGTGTCACGGAATGCCATCAGCAGGTCGCAACAGAGATACAGAGAGACTGGAAGAGTCACAGAAAGATGTAGAAGTGGACCTTCTTTGGCCACATCTCATGCTGATTGTGAACAATGCCCTGAGAAAACGGATGATGAATGCCACTCAACTCCAGGCATGTTTGAGGAAGGTGAGAGGCACCGAGTGCCACGGGCCTGATTTCATCTTCCTGGATGACAATGACCCAGCTCATTGCATCATCAGGGAAGGGCTGTTGGAGACTGGTGTACCTCAAATGGAATGGCCTGCACTTTCTCCAGACCTAAAGCCAATTGAAAACCTGTTTGATCAGCTGAGTCAACGCGTAGAGGCTCGAAACTCTGCACCTCAGAACCTCAGTGACCTGAGAGCTGCCTTTCAAGAAGAGGGGAATGCCATGCCTCAGCAGATAATAAGTCGACGTGTGAACAGCATGAGACATCGTTGTCAAGCTGTAATTGATGCTCAAGGGCACATGACGAGCTTTTGAGTTGTTGACATTTTTTGTTGTGCCGTACCCACCATGGTTGTTAACTTTGGTTTCAATGAATTGTTTGAGATGAGGAAATCACCAATGCATCCTTCTACTTTTCATAAATTCCACCTGAAAGACAAATTTTGTGAGTAGTGTGTGTGTGTGTGTGTGTGTGTGTGTGTGTGTGTGTGTGTGTGTGTGTCTGTGTGTGTGTGTGTGTGTGTGTGTGTGTGTGTGTGTGTGAGACTATATTACATTTCATTACTCTGTCCTTCTCTTGAAATCCTCGCTTATGTGTGCATGATTTTTTTTCCTAATCCCCGTCAGAGGGCAGTACCTTGCACAGACCTCAGCCTTTGCCGCCGTCCTCCATGCACCAGGGGGGCCTGAGCGACAGCAGCTCGGCCTACGGCCTGTCATCCAACCGTCACAGCTTCTCCAGCTACTCCGACTCCTTCATGACCCCTTCAGCATCCAGCAATCACATGAACGCAGTCGGCAACGGGCTCTCCCCGCAGGTCAGTCCCCTCCTTTTACTCTCCTCACTTGTAAGAATTATTATGTCATTGTATTTGAGTGCAATTAAAATGTTCGGCAGTATAACTACCAATGCGGGTTCTTATGCCCGTCTTCCAAAGCGCCTGGATTTATGCCAGCGACTCCAAATTGCTACATTGGTAAAACAATTGAATTAATATCGACAAATTAAAATTCATCTTGATAGTAGACGGCGAGCGCTCGAGCCGCTCCAAACAGCCACTTTCCTGGGATGTCTAAATCCTGCGCGTCGCAGCCAGAGCACATGGAGATGAAATAATTAGCTCAAGCTTAAAAATGTAGACCCGTAATCTTCTTGGTGTAATTGTCTGCACCCGCAAGACTCCAGTTTCTTTTTTTCCGACCCCCTTATTTCCTTTCTGTTTTATTTTCAAGCACTTGCCAAGAAGTTGGGTACTATTTTTACGATTTAAATCCATTTTGGGCCCTATTATTCCCTGCATAAAAAAGAATGCCAGGAGTTAACCTCTTCGGGTGCCATGGTCTTGGTTTAGCTTTAAGCAGCGCAGAGTAGCAAAGAAATGATTTGTAAATGATGCAGATCGTGTGTAAGGAGTGAATTATACACAATTACCCATCAAGACTGGCCAGCCTTGCCCACCCTTGCCGACAAGATGCGGTTAACAAGCAGAAAATAAGATTGAAATGGTGCGTAAAGAGTTGAAAATGAATTTCAATGCCGCATTTGTCCACAATTACCCCCATCGTTCACGTGTGTTTTATTTGAATCCCCCGCAACCCCACCCCAACCCCTTTTAAAATATTTCTCAAAGCAGATTTTTGGTATTACTGTTTTTTTAAGAAGAAAGAATTGAGGATTTTGTGACAAAGAGAGATTTTCTCTCCTGCTGGAGCTACGGAGGAGGATAACACGGCGGCTCACAGCGTGTTTGATTGTTAATCGTGACGCAGGGGGCTTTAGCTGCTAATGCTCCCACTGCAAAACCTGCAGAAAAGCACCAGGAACACCAAGGACATTTTAATATAAATATATACTGCACATACATATAT